CCCCACCCAACCACCCCCAGAACAAAGGAATGGGGGGTTTCTGTGGAGAACAGGCAACCAAACATTCCTATCACAATGGAGAGAGTGGCCGGCAGGTTCAATTAGTACACACTTTAAACTGTGCTCTATATGATCTCACTGTGCTTCAAAACAAAGCCGGAGCTCGAAACTCGAATGGGGGTATTTGGTGACGCCGGTTTGTTTCGTGGTTGTCTTGCATTTTAAGAGAGTTGCTCCTAGTTGCTTTGTTGCTGCCATGTTGCCTGAGAAGTAAACCGCTTGAAGGGCACTTTGGGGCAGAGAGCTTCAAGTTGAAAGATTGATGGCTTTCTCTCTCTCTCTTGAAAAACTTTTTTTTTATTTTTGGAAGTAAACTCCCACCTACCACTTCTGTAAATAACCTGGGACTACAGCCAGCCACTGCAAGGGATCTTTACCATTAATCTCTCCAAGAATAAAGTGTCACCCACAGTGTAATGAAACACTTCATGGCACATTTTCCTAATTGGCCATGATGCTCCTGTTTTTAGGGAGACTGAAACAATGTGAATCCCCACACCAACACACAATCAGAGGAACCCAGAAAACTAAAAATGTAATTACTCCTCATCTTCTCTCCAATGAAACTGTTATTTTCCGGGAAGCTTCCAGAGAACTGACCACCAGCAGCTCAACTTCTAGTGATGCCATCCTCACAACCTGGACATCAAAGCCTTTCTCTATCATGCAACGCGTTAAACGTGTCAGTAAAGGATGTTGTTAGTTGGATGCAGCACTGACAGTGATTTGATGCGTGTGTGTCTCGTGGCTGTCACTGCCGATCATAAATGCCTGGAAACCGTCAACAAATCGGATGCACAACATAATCAATACAGCACGAGGTATTGGAAGAGCAGCCAATAAAACACACACTACAGACACAGAGTAGAGCCGCCTGGTCTGAAGTAGAGACAGATGCACTCACCTATTACACAAGGTGCGCCGTAACGTCGGGTACTTGGCGTATCCGAGAGAGAAATGAAAGCCACCAGCCGCTGTTTTTTCTTTTTCTTTCACACTTTCACACCATCCGGGCGCACATGTTGCAGGTGCCCACAGAGAAATGTCACAACCATGAGCTGCAACGAGGAGCCCGCGGACTGCAGGAGAGAGCGGACAGTGTCGCCGTGGGTCGAGGCGCAGCGTGTCCAAAGCGCTGGATGAGATGCGTAGGGCGCCACCCCCTTTTTTTTGTTGCTGGACCTCTGGGACTCTGCGCCCAACCTCTCCTCCTCCTCCTCCTCCTCCTCTCTCAGCCCTGAAAATAGCGGGACATGAAGCAAAACTCTCCGCCTCAAGGCAGCGTGATCCGCGGACAACCGGTGATGCTGAAAGTGTCCGTGATCGCTCGTTGGCGCGTCGGTGCGCAATTAGAGAGGCGCGCAGGACGCCGGTGCCACCCACTAAAGGAGGTTTTTCGTGGCGAGTGTACGGGCAGGGAATTTTAATGAGGACTGCTGCAGAGTTTCCTCCCTGTTCGTAGAGTCGTGCTCTCTCTCTTTCTCTCCCTCTCTCTCTGTCTCTCTCTCTCACTGCTGAAATTCACTGTCCCGATAAGAAAACCTTAAAGTTACCCTACAGGAGAGGAAGAGGAGGGGAGGCGGGATGACGGCACAAAGCCACAATGAAGCTCAACTTTTGGCCACCTGCCAGTCAGCAAATCGGGGGGGGGACACCTGTTGACCAACCCAACACAACTGTGATTGATGTTGTACTACCTGATTTCTGTCCCACAGTTTGTCTCCAATGCTGCAGGGACATGTAGAATTAAAACGGCTGCAGGAGTTTTTTAATGGACAAGCTTTTATCCAGGGTCACTTTTATGTGAAGTGGTTCGTCGACAGGGGCGGATCTAGAGAGGTATCCATGGGGTGGCCTTTGGGTGGCATCCAGGGGTGTAGTGCAGGGTGTATTTTTAAATATGCAAGAGTTGAGTGTTTATCCTTTGTTGGACGGACGCTTAAAGAAAATTGGGGCATAAAGTATAGACACTACACCACTGGTGGCATATAGACTAGAAATATATGTTGAGCTTTGAATAGAAATATTTAAAGGCGGCATTACAAAATCTGACATTTTCCCAACTACATTTATTTTTCTTCTCTTAGTCTAAAATGTGTTAAATGTGACAACATTTGACAATAAACCGAGGTTGGCCAGGCGGTCATTAACAAAATAAAACTATTTCCTACAGCTTCTTAAAGCCAAAATCAGTTTGCTTGTTTCATATCATTATAGGCTGAAATTATTTTGTATTCATTTATTTTACTTTTTTGCCTCTTGATCCAACAAAATAAGTAATTTTCAGACATAATTTGGAACTTGATGTTGAGCATATAACATAATTAATTAAACTAAATAGTTCTATATATTTTGGGATGGTTAAAGAGTAATAGACACACTTTGAATTATTTAGTTTATGGCGCATTAATCAAAGAGAAGTTATATTGCAGATAATAAATGTCCAGTGGGGTTCTTCACTTCTTTTTTGAATCTGACAATTAAAACTTTTTTTTTTAAACCTGAGTTTAAAAAATACTAAAATAGACATCTATTAAACCTTTGCTACGACTTTTGATCAGTTTAGTATAGAGCGCTACAGCTCAGTGGTTCTCAACCTGGAGGGCTGTGACCCATTACTGAAGGGGTCACGAGAAGATTAACAGGGTAGGAAAGGTGACAAAAGACTTTTCTTGTGAAATGCCAGACAGTTTTACTTGTTTGAGTCCTAAATCTTAAATGTAAATATCTAAAAAACCACTGGTGGAATAGCTCACAACATATTATCACAGGCAATGTGTGATCAGGTGTCCCAAGCTTACACTGCCTCATTGTGATGGACCGTAAGTCAAAAAGATTGGGAGTGAATAGCTGTTAGTTCTATTGGTGGCTCTACATGGCATGTAGGAGAAACTACGGTGGCTGCAGGATGTGTTAAAGGCCTTTTCTATTGCCTGTGTTTTGTTTGTCTGTTCTGGGCTACTCGTAGAACATGGCGGGTTCAACATGGGCGGGCCTCTGTAGAAGAGGACGCCGCTCCCTCTGTAGATAGAAACGACTCATTCTAAAAGCAAAAACTGAATTTATATACTGTTTCTGCCAATAGATGCTCCTAAATGTTGTACACCGGACCTTTAAGCTTCTCCTTTCTTCGTTAGAGGGCCCCGAAAGGATCCCAGACCCCACAGCCCGACTCATGTTCCTCTTTCAGTGCAGCTCTTTCCTCTCTAATCCCACACCAATCAAACAGCAGCTCAAGCCTCCGTCTGTAGGGCGGCTGTCAGCTGGTCCATCTATTACGAGGTTAAACCACTTATCCGTCCATATGGGAGAGAACAGGGGCATCTAACCTCAGCTGGCACCCTGGTATGAAACAGCACATCGCTCTACCAAAAGCCTAAATCGACACCGGGTAAACAAAATCTGGTGTTTACTGCATGGGGGAATCAACAGCCGATACAAGTGACCTATAATCACACGGGGAAGAGTATACCCGGCTGATAAAGGTTTGGGAGGGTTTCGATTCGTTATTTTAGCCACTGGATGCCTCTTTGATTTCTTGTTACTAAGTGAACAGTAGAGGCACAAGAGCTGCTGACTAACAGTGACAACATTGTCCTAATAGATGCAGAGGCAGGTTTTATTTTGAAAATTAAAAACATGATAATCAGTTTTAATGAGGAAAGAGCTGCTGGAAACAGCCGCTGTTTTGTTATAAATAGAATTGTATTTGAGTGAATCCCAACCATTTAATAAAGTTATTAAATATACCTGGTAATTATAGTCTTTCAATAAATAAAACAGCTCCTTCTGTTGCTGAGGAATCACTTTTAACACAAGCCTGAGTGATACAGTGAAGATGTACTGCCCCCAAGAGGATACATTATATCATTGCACCCAATTACAAAACGTGACTCGACATTTTCTGCAGACCTTCATTGAGTCATCCATCACAGCTACAGCAATGAGAACGCCAGAGTGACAAAACGAGTGCTACATTTATTTTATTTTTACGAGATAAAAACAAAATCTTATTTACAATTATTTTCACAGACATTTAATGGCAATATTTAGTAGTGATATTTTAGTTCAGACGTGTCTTTTTCAGCCTGGAGTTGTCTTCCGCAGCTTTACGCTTACGTGACGGAGTACCTGGAGCTTCTTCAGAGGGAGCTTTAGGCAGGTGGTACAGCTCGACAGGAGGGGTTGGCTCCTGGAGGAAAGAAAGAAAGGCGCAATATTGAATCTACTGAGTCTGATTTAATACTAGAGATGATCTCACATCTTGCAAAATGATGTCATTTTAACTAATCTGCCATCTAACCCAACAGTGAGATTCATTAGAGTTATGACCATCTAACTGCTTTATAACAGATGAAGCCACACGCTGTTATATTAACATACAAATTACAACAAAATGATGTAAGACTTTGTGATTCAATCCAGTGATCAAGAGCTCCACTGACCTGCATGAGGTAGTCTGCAATGTACTCTGGCTTCAAGCATGTGACTCCCTGGGAGGTAGCCTCTGATACGTCGACTCTGAAGTCTCCGGGCTTCAGCCGACTGAAGTCCGCAAACAGGTGAGTGGCCTCCTTGTACGTGGAGGGGGAGGGACTCGGCAGGACCTGGAAGGAGAAATTACAGGTAACAACTATGTTTACAGAAAGAACATGTCAAAATATAGCAGATAGGGGTGTTAAGGTTGAAGTAGGGCAACTGGGAAAATAGTTGACTGCCCACTTCCTGCCTTGTTGTGGTATATCATGACATCCTTTTGTTTTCATTAAAATCCTGCCTTTTTGTTTAGCTCCGGTCTCATTTCTTGTGCCATCCCTTTGCTCTTCCATGACTGCTCTCTATTATCAAAACTGAGAATTCTCACAATCATATTACTCGTTGTTTCAAGGTTTCAGTGTTATAACATCATAAAACGTAATTTACTTTTATGAAAGGAAAACTTAATTACTGCTGTTTAGGCATAATTTACTATCTAAACGGATCTTACCGCCTCAACTAAACAGTTTCCTGTTTGCAAGGATTAGATTAGCAATTAAATGCAACCCTGATGTTGAACTAACTAGTATATAGGTATTAGAGACGACACTCTCTATTTCCAACCTTTTCTAGGACAAGCTACTGTCTATCTCTTTGATAAACTATTTGCTATTTATATACACAAACAAGCAGCTACCTTCGCCCTGCCAGACTGCAGTAACCGCCTGAAGCCTGATTCTCTACTCTGGTCAATGTTCAGCATGACTGTCCATCCACTGAAGGCTCCCTGAAAAACAGAAAGAACACTTTAACTTCCAAGTAGTAGACAATAAAACAAAAATAGCAGAAACTATGACTGTTCTTGAATGTGAACAGAGTGAGTGTGAGTGTGTCTGTCAGTACCTCTTGTTCAGAGCGTCCCTGCAGGGTTTTTCTCCAGCGCATGGCAGCTAGAGCCAGTCGTCTCTGCTGGGAGGTGATGGAGGGCAACGCATCCAGAATGGAGCTACTGCCCCACTCATACTCGTCCTCCTGGCACACAGACAGATGGAAGACATGAAGTCTTTTTCAACATTAAAAAATAACACTTGAAATAACAAACCTGTGAAACATTGGTTTATTCAAACCTTTAAAACCCTTTGAGTGGAAGAAACATGGTTGTGTTATGTAGCTAATAACAAGACTGCTTTTTGGGAAAGTAGACATTTTGGAGACACAGAGTCAGAGAGGTTAGATAGACCTGTTGGTTTGTTTGCAGTTACTTTGATTTTTGGCTGGAAAACCAGAAAACCAAACTTGCGCCCTTCAGACCATTAACTGACACTCTACATGTTGAACCAACATCATAACATTACATAACAACACCATTACAATACTGTAATTGCAGGGTGAATAAAACTAATGGAAATCCAGTGTTGAAGCTCCGGCTCCTGACCTGGATGAAGCGCCCCACAGAGCGGCAGGCCTCCAGGTACGAGCGGTGCAGGATCCATTTGCCGGCCGCCATTGCTGCCAGGTATTTCTCATTGCGCAGAGGAGTCCCGACGATGATGTGGGAGCAGCTGGGGTCGAATGACTGCTTGTCCAGGACTACACCACCTAGAACATCATAACCGAGGTAGACAGAAAGGAAAAAAGAGTTATAGTTACAGACCTGATAATTAAGTTAAAGACTGTAAAGAAAAGTATGTAAGATAACTATAAGCTGCTATGAGCGCTGCTTTGGTTGAATATACGTTTAATAATAGTTCAGCTGATGATGTGCTGTGGTTTGAATTTGAGAAGAAGAGTTCACAACATTTTTATCAGAGGAAGCATCTGCAGGAGGAAATATTCAGACCCTGGAGGCAGATCCTCCTTTTCAGTCATCGGGGATTAGCTCCTCCGACTTCAGGCCTCTGATGTGTTGCCTTTTTATTTTACTGCAGGATGATGAAACACTGTAAGAGCCCTAATTAGGTGCAAGACTCACCAAGCTCCTCTATGAGGTGACTGTAATCAATGCGTTCCTGAGGGCTGAGGGAGGACAGCTGAAACCTGGGTGGCTGCTTCTCTTCCTCACACTCCTCCTGTGACAATTAAAGAGCCTTTTAGTACCAGTGGCTTGTGTGAAAGAGGTGGCAGATCACAACTGGTGCACTAAAGAATATACATTATTTATATATGTTATGAAACAGCATGCGTGTGCGGATGGTTGCGGACACGTTAAAGTAAATATAAACGTTCACCTGTGGCTCCGGCGCTACTGGGGGGTTGGCGAGAGGGAAGGCAATGCTGGGGGCTTTAGGAGTGAGGATGTCACTTTCTCGCTCTTTTGTCGGAGGCGTTCTGACTTTCTGACCCATGTGCTGGTCGATGACATCACAAGCAGCTGGTCGAGGATACAGTGAGTACAGTGAAAGTCATTAGCTACAGTATGTCAGAGGCTATATCTTTCTATGTTTCTGGTGAAATGACTCTCCTGGGGTCATATGTAGACAAGCTAACCTCGCTACTTGTGTCAGTGCGTCTAGTAGTTAGCAGGTGTAGCGACAACTAATGTCTATGTAAGATAGTTTATGCAGTGTATTGATGTGTAAATCACAGTTGGTGCAACCGCTCGGTTCCTGATCTCTTACCCATCTCCACCAGCTCAGAGTCCGTCATGGAGTCCCTGAACTGAGGGCCGTTTTCTGTGGTGGGAGCAGGTGGAGGTGCGAGGCTCTCAGAGTGTTGTGAGGGACTACCAGGCCACTGTAAATTATCAGCCAGCTTGGCCCTCTCCTCCCTGGCTGTAGGGTCATCCCAAACTATCTGCTCACTCTGAGATGGCTCTGTGTTTATGTCCATAGCTGCTGCTCTGGAAACCCTGAAGGGACAGCATGAGGTGAATTTATTTTGACGAAGACGTGTGTGAACCTAACAAAAAAGGCATCACACTTCAAACTGTTTGAAGTTTATGTTTCTCCCATTTAGTGATTAGTGATTGTTATAGTTTAAACATAAACTGACTCCTCACTTCGAGGCTTTCTTACCTCAGAGCTTCCAGAGTACGTCTGTTCCCACTGCGTCCAACCCGGTTCCCATCAGGTGTGTGGGGGCCCGAGTCAGCCCCTCCTGATCCCATCCTGCTGAGTCTGACTGAGGCGCGTCTCCCTGTTGTTAGCTTGGTGGCTGACATGATCTCCTGAAGCTGTCTTTGCAGGTTCTCCCTCATTTCTAGAGTCTCAGAAATATCTGGACACAAGAAATAATCAAGCATTAATAAAACTACTGGTTCTATCATGTACATAAGATTTAAATGCAAAAGAATTAAATGAAAGTTGGAAAAAGACACCGACCACTTCTATCGGCAGCATCATGCATCTCTTCTTGATCTACGCTCCCATCACTCACACGACGTAAAGTTGTATTGTCTTCTGTGGCAGCATCTTCACACTGAGGGACAGATAATAAAACAGATAATTAAAGACAATTAAATGAGGTACCTCTTTATTAGACCTTACTAACAACATAAAATATCAAATTCAACACAGAACAGTATCCAATGCTTAACTGACAGACAATACACACACAGCCACAGAAGGTAAATTACATATTTAGACCCACCATGCTGCCCTTTGCCTCAGTGATGTCTTTGAGTTGGGTTCGTGTTGAAGGTGGAGACCTCTGGGAGCTGTTGGGCACCTGGCTGAGGTTTAGGCTCATCTTGGGGTTGTAGGTGAAAGGATACAGAGACTCTGCAACGTGCCTCTGCTCATCAGCACACTGCACAGGGGCGACATGGGTAACTTGTTAGGTATAAACTTCTGTGTACGGATATGTACTGTGTGTGCTGTCACAGCAATTCATTAAACAAGACTATTATGAGTGGAATCATAGCTGAAACTCCCATCTGTCTGCAAAATTACCATATCAAAGCTGGTTTTGATTAAATATTCTGCTTTTGTTGATGGGATGATAATTATCCCCTCCCAGGTGAATGTGCTAAGTGAATACTGAATGATAACAAGAGGCACAAAGCAGCACCTACCAACATGAAAAAGAGATGCCAAATTAAATCAAGGGTATCTTAATATCACTTTATGTATCATCTTGAAGACTTTACATATTTCCTTTAAAAGCATGTATAACCAACAAAATATTTGTTCGTCATGAGAGCAACACTATGGCTCAGGAGGACTAGGCTTACATTTTTGCCCTTTTCTTTGTGGTTTATAAAAAACTAAATGAAGTTGAGTTTTGCAGTTAGTCCCCAAATTATTTAGTACAAATACTTGAATATCTTATTTGTTATAATACAATTAAGCTCACTATCATTGGCCCAGGATTAACTGTATCTCTGGCAGTGTAATTATTTAATGGGTTGAGACAAATACATAATACAACTAAATAACCAACAAACTTACTAATTCACTTTAGAGCAATTATTTAGAAAACTGATCTTTTAATTAATCTTTCAAGCAAAAATGCCAAATATTTTTGGTTCCAGCTACTCAAATGTGCATTCACTGATCTAAAAACGGTTCAGTATTGTCCTCTACAGTGCACTCAAAAGTAAAAGTTGAGTGGTAAAGTAGAGCTCAGGTTCTATTAATATTTGGTACTAGGTAACATACAGCCTGCAGCCAGTACTGGGAGACCACATGCAGTCCTCTCTCCTTCACTCCTCTGTATTCCCGGGTGTTGTCTCCCACACGGCCCTGGTAGATGTAGTGTGTCACTGTATCGTCACAAGCCCACCTAAAATCAATTTGATGAGAGTACAAAGAAATGTTTGTACTATTTGCATTAAATTATTATATTAATGTATAGTTTAACATTTTTATAAACACCTCTTCTTAAAGAAATTTAGATGTAATGACAAAATCCATAGTCCTTCTTATTGTACAGAAATACATTCTAAAGATTTGAAGCTCCAGCAGCCTGAATTAGACAAATCAAGTGGACATCTTCCAAAGTTACTAGGCTTTTATTTTGAAATTTGCTCTCCAAATAGAGGGTAAGAGAGCTGAGTGGAGGCAGAGGAGTAATACAAAGCAGGAAATTGGTACTAAAAACACATTAACATTGGATGATATTCACTTGATCCGTCTAATTCGGACTGCTGAAGCCTCATATTAACTTCAGATAAAGTTTGGAATGTAATTTTCCACACAGAGAGTACCGTTTGTCTCTCCAATCACTTATACTGAAATTGATTTAAGAAGGGGTTGTCTTTGCAGCCAATATGGACAAAAAGACGGACTACATGTGTTGAATACCTGAAGTCAGCTCCGAGCGAGGCAGCGACAGCATTGAGTTCGCTCTGCATTTTGCTCAGCTTCTTTCCAACACAGATCACAACACCAGTAAGAGGGCCGACTTCTTTTTCTGGGACCTAACAAACAAAAAGTATCAAATGTTATGGACAGTATATAGGCTACGCTATCATATGTCTAAATTTCCCTTGTACTATAAACGTTTTCTTGTGACAGTTAATGTGTCTGTAACTATAAGAGATCCTCCATCAGTGTCATTAGTAATCAAACCTGTACATTGTATTTGATCAATAAAGAGTGACTGATTTAACAGGCTTGCTGTATTTGTATGTATTTTAGTTTACCTCTTTCTCAGTCGTCTTGGTAAGTTGGGGGCTAGCAGACATGGCCTGCATATCTGAGACGTTATTTCGGGCGCTATTGGCCAGAGCCACCTTTAAGTTCCTGTTGATGACATCAGTCAGCGGCGTCCCCACCCTCTCTCCTGGTTTGGATCTTCCCCCTGGAGTCTCCAATTCTCCAAGTGCATCCTTAACAAAACAGTCCATGTATTTAAAGGATTATCTATCACGTGTGAGTGCACAATTTATTGCTACAGGCCTAAAACATAAAGCAGCGATTGTAATTCTAGCACTATATTCTGCCGCTGCCCAGTTGGTACCAACCTTGACATTGAAGGAGGGCCTGAAAAGCTGGTCTCTGCTGAGGAAGCGAGAGGGAGTGTCCAGCTGCAGTGTGGGTTCCTTGTGAAGGGGGTTCCTTCGGCCGCCCTCCTGGTTTTGTTTTGGGGTGCTGACGTCCTCTTTGGGCTTCATCTCGTCCAACACGGAGCGGAAAACTTTGCTCCGGAAGCGACCTAAATCCAGCGGGGTAACAGCCTTACCACTCTGGAGTCCCAGCAAAGGGATCTCGGGAGACAAACGTGCCGGGGGAGGCATGGCGGGCTTCTGGGAACCGCCGACAAAACTCTCATCATCCCTCTCTGTAGAATGAGAAAATAAAAGTGATTGTCATAGCACAGCAAACAATGACAGACAGCAGAATCACACCATATAGCCAAAATATATCAGTCAGGTTGCTCAAAATGTCTGTCAGAATATCCCTGGAAATCAATTTTATTTCACATTTCAAATAAGACTCAATGGTAAGAATAATTATTGTGATCCATCACGTTCTACAAAATACAAATAAAATACGCATTTACATTCACAGGCTTTAATCAAGACACTTTTCTAACCTGGTGAGGGTGGCAGGTCAACTAGAAAACGCCCCTCCTCTGCCCTCTGGCCGGTCCGAGCTGACTCTAGTATCCAGTGCATGGTGACGGCTGGGAGGCCCCATTTCTTTGCTGCCTGATACTTTGTGCCTTCTGGGGTCTGCAACACCAGATGAGTGCTGGCCAGCATGCCTTTCTTCTGGTTGGCCAAGCGCACAAAGTAATCCTGGACACTGCAGGAGAGGGCAGAAGCGGAGAGAGAGAGAGAGAGAGAGAGAAAGAGAGAGAAAGAGAAAGAGAAGAAAAGATGAGAACTGATAGACAAGTAGAAAGAGAGGTAGTTCACAATAGGCAGGCAGGACACATGAGGGTAAGTTTATTAAGAGGATCAGTTTATAAAAACCTCAAACACTCCTGCAGCTCTTAATGTTTGTACCCTGTGGTCTAAAAGTAAAACAGCATTTGCGGTCAGACTGCGATGTAACCCTACTTGGCTCCAAGGTGCTTGGCCAGCTCCACCAAAGACTCCCTCTCTGATCCGGTGAACTGGCTGACGGAGAGAACGCAATCTTTGAGAGGAAAACGTCCGTCCATCACAGGAACAGGAGTGAACAAAGGGTTAGAGGGCAGCCGCAGAACACACTCCTTCTCCACACACATGGCCTGAAAATTAATGAGAAAAAAAACATAAGTGTTAGCTTTCAAACTTAAAAAACACTTTCATATGACACAAAACTGATAAATGACAAATATGTAGTTCATATCAATGAAATTAAATTGTTTGGACGGCAACTTATTAGTTTCCTTGTTAATTAATGAATTGATTGTTTTGTCTACAAAATGTAAGATTCTAAAAAAAAGATTTAAGAGAAGATATTCACATTTGAGACAAGGCCAGAAATAGTTTAGCGCACTTTTGCTTGATAACTGACCTAAATAACTAATTAATTATCACAACTTGTTGATTTAAACTCAAAAATGTATATTTGCCTCTTTGTTCAGCCACTTAACAAATCAACAGATGGCACTAAAATCACCAAGAATGATTACCCTCTCTGCACAAGTAAAATAAAAGCAGTAAGACTACAATCTTACCAGCCAGGTATCAGTGACCACCTCGTCCACTGTGGCCTCCACCGAACAGCCCAACAGTGGGACCACCGCGTAGTCTGCCACAACACGTGTACGGCCAGTCAGCACCCTGCCTCCATTTTCTGTCACCAGCAGAGAGAGCTGGGCCTCGGACTCAGTGCCAAAGCCCACAAGAAGGAAACATTTCCCAAAAAACAGGCCTGCCTCGCTGGCTTCCTGCAGGGTTGAGTCTGGGTCTGGTCCTCTGCTCTGGTTTGGTGCACAGAGTTCAGGTCGGGGCTCTGCAGCCATACTGATGGACCTCCTGCTGGTGCCCTCTGCTGGTGGGGGCATGTCAACTGAAGGATTAAAGGACAGTGAGATTAGCTGCAATATACAAAACTATATCTTGTAACCTCTTAATAGTGCCCAGCTACAGGAAGCCTCCAGTTTAACAACAGATACTTACCGACTGTAGGGTCATCATCCATGTACTGTGAGAGCAGATCTTCCTCTGCTCTCCTGTGCCTGGGAGTGCTGGGGCTGGCAGCAGGGGGACCAGCGGAGGGCCTGGAGGTGGAAGTGCGATGGGCAGGCACAGACACAGCAGCCTGAGCAGGGGGCAGGCAGTGAGGGTGCAGGTAACCTGCTTCTGGGAGTAGACTGCCTTTGTTGAAACTGTCCAGCAGCCACTGCACTGTTACTACATGGGGCCTGGAAAGTAACACACATCATCTCAAGGATTTAACATACTGTAAACTCAAATTGTTCAATAGTCAATAGTTGTGTGCTGATAAGATAAAACAGGTCAGAACATGAACAAGTGAGGGGGGAAAAAACAATATATGCAGTAGAATAATAATCTTGCAACTCAGACCTATGTGTTGCTTTGGACAAAAAATTCTTGAGGTCCTGATCCAGTTCTCCCATGACCACATGTGTGAGCTCCTCACTGGGCTGGTTGAACCTCAGACCTCCTGCAGTGTTCACGAGACGCCGCAGCTTCTCCAGTTTCTTCCCTGGCAGGCCGCACAGATAGAGCTGCACAACATTTAACACGTGTGAAACAAAACCTCAAAGTTTTCTTCCAGATTTCAAAGGATATTTCTGCTCTATATGAAAATATATTCTCCTTCTTACCTTACAGCCATCCAGTATATCATCAGCGGGGCAGACGGTGAGATCCAGACTATCTATGGGGTCTGGAGCGTCCAGTCGGCTGATGGTGCCGTTGGTGAGGGCTGTGTCATTTATTGTCATGCTGGCGTTGACAGAGATGTGGCTCAAGCCCAGCAGAGATGGACCTTCTGAAGTAAAAATACACATATACTGTAATATTACAGACTAACACTCTACAAGAGGTTGTGCTTGACCCCGATTCCCCCTGGAGGGTGTGAAAGTAACATTTTAAAAGACAATAAACAAGTGCATTATCAGTTTGTGGCTCACCCTCTTTCTTGTTGGTGCCAGTAGGGGTGGAAGTGTGCTGTCGAGTGGCCTTTGATGCATTACGCTCCACAGTGTACCGGCTCTCATCTTGACAGAAACCCTTCTCTATGCTGTCAAACAACCAGTGCAGAGACACGCAGTACACATTCCACTTCCGTGCACACTCGTACTTCTGACCTGCAAACAAAGACAAGTACTGAGAATCACAGAGATACTAATGAGAGTGACACAAATACAGCTACAATAATTACTTACTGACTGATTTCTGACTTTTTTAAAAGTGGGTGATTAATTAATATTAGACACTAATAACGCAAACTAAAATGAGAAGATATCTGATGGGATATCCTATCGCTACCGGAGTCTTAGAGACGTTTTTAAATCGGAAAAAATTGCCCAAAGTGCTGTAACGGCTGGTGACTTGCCTGTTGGTTCACTAACGATCAGGTGTGTGCACTCATTCATTTTGAGCTGACCGGTGTAGGTGGCTCCGTGCTGCTCGCAGAGCCGCTGCACCTCTTTACGCTCTGCGCTGGAGAGGCCTGTCACACAGACAGTACAGCCACGGAGCACAGGGCACAGATAGTCCTCAATGGGTAGATCTGTATACCTGAAAAGACTGAAAGAGGCAGAACGAGATTATCATCTATGTTTGAAGTGCCTTGTTTCTGTCAGCAACTGTATAATTTGGGTGCAGTGATAATAAATGACTGTCAAACCTTCAGGAAAAAAAAGAGTTCATTTGGCCAAGAAAACATCACAAAATACAGCATGTATCCTTTTAATGTAGGTGTAGAACAGAAGTGTCAGTTAGGATGAGAAAACATACCTGTCCTGAGATTTCTCCCAGCAGGCTTTGACCCACGCAGGCAGCAAGATGGGTTTACCCAGACTGGCAGCGACCAGGTATTTCTTGCTGCCCACCTCTCCTGCAATCAGGTGTGTGACAGATACGTTGAGGTCAAGATAGACCCGTCCACCCATGAGCTGCACCAGATCCATCACCTCCGTCTGTTGAGAGACAGACAGACACAAACTTACACAACACTTTAAAAGACAATGTGCTGACTTATATATCCTAACTCTTGCACTACATCACAATTTCCTCATGTATTTTGGGATATACGTGTATGCACCAGTAGGACGAGCTCCTTACACATAAACTGACGCTTTTCAGGACGTTTCCTTTTAAGTTTACGCACATACTGATGTATGCCTTTGATTGTGTCCTGCTATCAATGATAATAATGATTAAAGCTGCGTTCATTAACATGTCATAATCTGTGACTTCCTATTTCACTTTCACTACTTCATTTACACTTTATTATCACCTACAACACTGACACCGAGATAGACACCCAATATATATCCTCACATCACCACCTTGCCCGACAGTAGCTTTAAAAAAAAAAAAGAGTGAAGAAGAGATTAGCCCGCTTTAGCTGCTTTACATTCAGATTATTTATTATTCTTTTACTTTATCTCACTCATATATATTTAAAATGTTATAAAACTGCTGATTTAAAGAGAGCAACACTCAGCAGACGCAGTAAACTGACCCGTATAGCTTTATCCAGGCTCGTGCAGGAAATAGTGATGTCGGCCATGGCCATGTTGTAGACGGGCGTCTCTGCTTTGGGGACACAATGCTGCTGCTGCAGGCAGTACAACACCACCAGTGGACTCACCACTCTGCAGCCGAGCTACGTGACAAATAACAAAGAGGGAGAAAAGGGGGGAAGAATTACTCTCTACGATAGCGTTTCACCAAGTCTTGTGAAATTCAGGATTAAGATTTGGATGAATCAAACCGCCGAGTCAGACCTTTTTGCAGTGCAGAAATGCTGGCGTGGTGAAGCTACTGAAGACGAACAGAGACTTGTCATTGTGGTGCATCTGTAAGACAGCATCTTCATCGACTGTTTTCAAGTACTTCTCAGACTGCAGCTCCAAAATGGCCTGTGTGAACAGGAGACAGACTTTACTGCAAACAAAGAGACAGTAGAGCAAAAAAATACGAATCATCATCACAGAGATAATGGAGTTTACCTCATAAGCCTTGACGGCATGCTCTGTTTTTTGTCCTTTGCTTTCCACAAACTTCACAATGAAGCCCTCCCTGTCTCCTTTGGACATGGTCAACCTGTCAGTAGGTGTGAATAACAGCATGTTAAAAGCCAGTCTCAGAGTTGACAAACCGTCGAGTAAAATGGAAAAAGGAATATCAAGATAAGTGAAGAAATAAGTCTGTAAAGAGCATATGTAAACAATGCTCACCCTGTAAGTAGGTGTGTAAAGAAGCCATTAAAGTAATAGAGTTTTTGATGTGTTAACAAGCCTTCAGCGAGCAGTCGAGTCGACAATTACTGGATGTTATGACTAAGCATGTTTTTATTTCAGCAAGCAAATATTAACTGGTGATCTACAAATACCTACACATTGGTACAACGTTATATGTAGATAATATAAGCAGTTAACGTTACTACTAACTTTATTACAGTCCTTAAAGTTAATATTAGATAGATAAACTGAGGTCTAATGTTACTTACCTCCTCTTGATGAACCCAGACTGTCAGACAAAGTGTACAAAAGTGTACTCCGACAGTAATAAAAATGAAATATAATTAAATATAACTAGTCAGAACTAGTTAAACTTTAGTGTTGCTTGTCTTAAATATATAAATATAACAGTTTATGTAGCTAGCTATAACGCCACAGTCGGTTTTAGACACTTTAAAGGAACTGTGTAAATAATATTCATATTATCATAAACAAACGGTAACTAGTCTCCATAGTATCTGAGGAATTCATGTACATTTTATAATAATTTAATAATATTTCGGCGAAATTAAATAACAGCTTTGTTGTTGTCTATTCGCGCCAACGCCGGTGTTACCTCCTAATTCGTCCGTGTGGAGTCGGACTCTAGTGTTCAAACGATCCGCGGAAACTAAATATTCAACGTGTTTTTACAAAAAGACACTAAAACTAAAGTAAT